CTTCACTGAGCACCGGCCAGTGCCATGGGTCAGTTATAAAACCCAATAGATTGCTCCCTTGCTTCTGCCCACTGGTTTGATCTCTGGAGCTCCTCATGGGCTCCGGGTTGCATAATCAACGTGGGATCTGAGCCTTATGTTCTTTTTGCTGGTGGCTGTTACATTAACCATTTCTGTGCCACTGGTGATTAAGAACAGATTGTGCAACAGGAGGGAAGACCTTCCAAAACCTTCCCCGCTGAAAAGTCAATGTGAGCCTCCAGTGACCGCTGCTTCTGCCATTAAAGCAGGGTGAACCAGTGGGTTATTTCTGAGGAAGTTTAAATATTGGTATTTTCTACAGTGGGTCAGAGTCTTGTTTTACAACTTTGGTAGAGAGATCTGAATGTACCTGTGAGGTGTCGTGGGCAGGGATGGTCAGTCCCTTGAGAGCCAGGGACTGGCAAAGCCTGACCATAAATAATGAATTCAACTACTTGAGGTCTTTTCTGAATCAAATCTTTAAAATGGTCCCTGCTCCTTTCTGTCAGACAGTGTCTGCCTTTTCACGTCCTGCCTGCTTTTCTCTCCTGTTGTGTTCCTCTTAACAAAACATCACTCTGTATTAAGAGCAGCAGCACGGTGTTACGTCTCTGCAGGCCCTCAGGTGCGTGTCTGTGTGATCTCAGGAGTGTTCACATCTGAGGGGCTGAGCCTGTAACCAGCATTTCTTGTGCATAATCAAAACGATCTGGTTTCAAAAATCATAAAATCACAGAATGGTTTGGGTTGGAAGGGACCTTAAAGCTCATCCAGTCCAACCCCTGACATGGGCAGGGACACCTCCCACCAGACCAGGCTGCCCAAAGCCCTGTCCAACCTGGCCTTGAACACTGCCAGGGAGGGTACATGCACAGCTTCCCTGGGCAACCTGTGCCAGTGTCTCACCACCCTCACAGTAAAGAATTTCTTCTTAATACCTAATTTATTGTCACAAAGGTGCTGGCATTTCAAAAATATAATTGCAAATGAAAGACTAGTACTGCGACACTCAATTTCATTAGCAAGGAAATACGTCTCTGAAAATCGAGTCACGTTTTTAAATACTAGTTGTAAGTGGCATCCAGTTTTTAAGCGTATTGTTACATCCTCAGCACTGTCATTTACCAGTCCTTGTAACAAGTAGTATCACCCACTCAACCTCAGATTATAGCCGATAAATATATTTTGTCTCTTTCTGTAGAAGTCATTAATGAAAAATATTACAGTGGTTTTTTTAGCTTGATCTGATTTGCATACTTTTAGAGATTTTACAAGAAAACCATTTAAACATTTTACAAAAATGCTTTGCTGGTGTGGTTGAGACTATTAAATTGTGCAGTGATAAGTAATAACTTACTGCAAATTTAATTGTTTGACTTTTTTGTACTCTGTTCTTATTTTAATCAGACCAAAAAAACTTTTAACTGTTTCTGCAAATCCAAAACCACTTTGACATAACCATTATCCAGTGAAGACTTGAAGGTACTCAGTTGTCACCTTGTCATCTTGGTTTAGATAGATTAAAAGCTGAATAGAAAGCCCAGATGTACAGGAATGTGTGTCCTTTATGTGGGTAGTTTGGAGGAAGCCTGTGTTTTATTCTTTAATACTTATATGAAGCAGTGATCACCTGAAGTGAATCATATTAATTTAGGGATCATGCCTAAACAAAGCTCCTTGGTCAATGCCATGCTTCTGGGGAATGGGTATTTAAAATTTTTTGCTCTGAGGGCTCACCTTTCCTGTGAAATAAGTAGTTTCTCTTCCCCCTGTGTTGTAATATTTACTGTGCAGGTCATACCTACCTGAAGCTGATGGACTGATCTCTCTAGATACCAAAACATATAGAGTGACAAAAGTGAAACTCCGAAAGTCCCCACACCTTACTGTTGTGGTGTCTGTTGGAGGAATAAAGGGCAGAACCTACTGGGCTTCTGGGGTGGTTTCTTCTCTGGACACATGCTCAGGCCAGGCCTCAGTCATTTTTTCAGTGGTCTGTGTACCACTTGACTACGGACTAGGAGCTGCCTTGGCACCCACATCAAATTAGCTTGCAGGTAACATTAGCTTTTTGTTGTTAACAGGATCTAAAACTTCTAAGACACTGCGTCGTGTTACAGCCCCTTGAACCATTCAGGTTTTGAGCCCTGTGTAGTTTAAAGAGTTAAAAATTAGTGATGAAAATGGAAGCAGCTGCCTGATGACTAAACCGAAGAACATCTATGTCTTACACATTGAACTTTATGTATGCGTCATCCTGAGTGTTGAAATTTTGCAACTTAATAGCATGTTAAATAAATAACTCTTAAGTGAGTTGAATGACAGTTTTACAAATATTTTTTATTGTCACAGCAATCAACAGTGTCAACTCCAGTGTAATGTAAGAATATCTGTACCGGTTTTTTGGAGTTGACCAAAGCACAGCAAGGGTAGACGCGACCCACAGCTCTCAGTGTCCTGTGAGCACGGGGCGTGTTTGCCTGCAGTGGGTTCACTGGCCAAGTTTCAGTAGTCCCAGATCCGCTCCATCTCCATGTCTCTGTGACCAAGTTCTCTGGTTGCCCAGCTCTCTCCCTTCCCATCTGCTTAACCGATAAAAATCACTGGACTTTGAATTTGAGGTGATTTAAACCGGGTGAATGTGGATTTCTCTCTTCAGTTATGAGTAACATTTTTGGTATTTTGATTGATTATTATCACAGGAAACTTCTATCGTTAAGGATGAGAGGGGTTTGCATACATAAAGGGTTCATTAACCTTTGCACATTACTTAATGGTATATACCGTGGGGTTCGTAGCTGTGACAGTACCAGGTGCTTATGATGGGCAGTGTCCTCCATCTTCAGAATGACTGGTCTTAAATTAATTCTGAAAGCTGTAACATTAATGTATTTCTGTGCCATCTACTTCATTTCAGCTGGTGTAAGCTGCAGAGAGATGAGATCTTGGCATATGACAGGGCAAAAATTACTAACTGATGTTGAGCATTTGAATCTCATTAATTTCCTGAATTTTACCTGTATATTTCTACTTTGCTTATTTCAAGACACAAATATGACATACTTTTTTATGAACATGTGTGTCATTATAATAAAATGTTAAATCTGTTGTATCCACAGTTGTATTGCAAAGAAGTTGAACTACATCTTTAAGCAATTCTGCAAGCAAATGCATATTTCAAAATCCTGGCTCGGGAATCTAACTGTAAACTAAGAAGTAGTTGATAAGTGTTTGAAAAATATGAATTTTACATTTCTCTATTACTGTCTGCAAATGATTAAAAAAAATAAGAAAGAAAGAAATTATTTAAAATTATCCTTCATCTTAACCACCATCTTTTAAATTTGTGTGCAATT